AAAACATATTAAGAAGTCAATAATCTAATTAACACCATCCCCTAAAGCTGCTCAGATACACAGGCAGGTAGACAGAAGGAGATCTAGCATGGGACAAAAGGAGGAGGAGAAATGTTTTAAACAAAAAGGGGGCTGTGGTTATAATGATAAACTCCTTTGACGGAAGGAAGAAACTGTGATTAAACAGAGAACGGACGTAATAACAGCACCTCTGGGCTTATTTCCATGAATTTCCCTGAAGCAGCATGTACCTTCTTTAAGTAATTCTGAATGCACAATAAACCTTTGAATCCATCTTAATTTATTAGGCCTTAAAGCCTTTGTTGCTGCATAATAAATTCATCATGTATTTGAATACAAGCCATTCTCATTGTAAATATGCAGGCATCCAGAACCCCAGCTGTCTGTAAAGCACTTCTAAGCTCACCCAGGCAACAAAATCACCATCTCCTCTCCAGGCAAAACCAGTAGCTGTCTCTTAAAAGCAACCAACCAAGTGAATGCTCAGTGAGGAGCTCATTTTGGGGCACCTGTGGTGTAAGGCTGGCATCACCTGGCCAGAACTGCTCTGGTCCCCAGTGAAGACCTGCTTTTTTCCACAGAGCTTCTCTCTTCAGTATAGCTTCTGGTGCAGGGCCAGTCTCCTTGTTGCCAACACAGATGTGAAATACCAGGGCACACAGGACTCCAGCTACACCCGCTGCATTTGGAAAGTCTCCTCCAGCAAGGGAATTTTCAGGAATCTGTTTAGGGCAACTGCTAACTGAATAATAACATTGTCCTGGCTGGACCAGTTCTTTTTCTATTAAGTGATTAAGAAACAGAGAATGATGCCAAGATGATAGATTAATGAAGGGGGAGAGTATTGCATAGTCTCATCTATGCACTACTCTTTAGATTTTCAGACAAGTTTTTGGCCAGGTTCCAGATCACAAGAGGAAACAGGGTCAGGTCTAGGACATGAACTCTGGGTCTTTAAAGCTTGGCTATGTGTTAGACCAAGTAGCCTCTCGTGGCACTGCAGAGCTGGAACTGTGAGCAGAATGTGGCCTGAGGGGATTTGATTATGGGGGATTATTCAGGAGAAGGAAGGAAGCCAATTTTATTCTCAGTGCTTAGGCCAAGTTTGCAGAGCTGGCAGTTAGTGAACAAAAACAAGCCTATTTTATATGGGTAACACAAGCACATTCACTGGTACAATAAGCAGAACTTCCCCCAGGTGCCATTTTAACAGACATATTTCAGAGTAGAACCGCAATTTGAGGGAAAATAGACTTGGCACAATGTTGTAGTTTTAAGAAATGTAGATGTCTGAATGGCAGGAAATTCAAAGTAAAGGTTACGCTGAAAAGCATTTTTTTTTTTTTTTGGAAAGTACCAGAATTAACCTGAAGAGTGTTGAAAGACCTAAAATATGGCTGAAGTTTGGGAGGAAACTTTGTGGGGTCCCTAGCTCCAGCCCTTCAAGCAAGCGGTTAGAGCATGGAGCCTCCACCCGCTCCCAGGCTCCATTCCAGAACACGTGGCAGCAGTCATCCATACCTGAACAGCATGCTTGTCACAGGAACCCCACAAATACCTTAGCATAACCAGGAACTTTAATTAACCAATAATGATACACACCCAAGGTCTCCAAAACTAACCCAAATTTTCTACCTCCACTGAAGGCAACAGAATGAGACCAATCTTGAATTTCTAGGCCAAACTATTTTTTTATGTCATAAGTCCCACACCTACCCAAAACAAATTACTCCACAGAAGTGCTTTGTACCTACTTTTTTTAACACTCTCATAACTTACTTCTGTTTGCCCCAGATGTTTCTGAGACATTCTGCTTCGGCATGCATGTGAGATTTCTTGTGGCTTTGATGAGTTTCTATTAAGTTGAGGGGAGAAATAGAATCACTCATAACAGATAACTAGGCTTCACCTTTAACTAATATTTCCCCACTGATACACCTCTGGTGGCCCAATTCACGCTCCTATGAGAGCCTCAATTCTAATGATTTCATGCACAAACAAAGGCTTGGTACTTAAGTTCTTTGACTTTTTGTTTTAAATAAAAAAACAAAAGGAAAAAGGACAGCTTCTTATCTGGGGCCCTGTGAAAATGCAGTTTTGCCTTGGTCTCCCACATTTCGAACTTCATCACTCTGCTCATGCAAAAAGGAAAAGTTTCACAGTTTCGGCAGCACCACTTCATTGGCTGTAATAAAACTTAGCTCAATGCAATGGGCTTGGTCTTCAGCTGGCAAAAATCCATGCAATCAGTTGATGCCAATGGGTCTATGCTACTTCATACCAGCTGAGGATCTGGCTCAATTATTTTATTACAAGCATCCCTCAAATCACTGTTGTTTGAATGTATTGTTTCATAGCAACAGCAGCGCCTCTTCCTCACTGAAAGAAAAATCCTGAAATTTTATTCTTCTGCCACTTTGCAGCCATTTGTGCACAGAGGCGCTTTTCTTTGCCAGAGGAAAAAGGAGTTTCTTTCTGTCAATGTGCTTAACTGAAAACTAACTAAGTGCCTTTTCCGCATGCTTTCCAAAAACACTCATCTCTGGAATGAGACAGTGCACAGCTGCTCTCAGCCCACGAGGGAGTCAGAGAAGAGGGTGGGTATCACAAACATGGTGCGTGGCAGCTCTCACAGGCGCAAAACCTATCTAAACACATGCAGCATGGCCCCATTACCCTTGCTCATGCTGAAGAGCAAGGAGACCCACTGCAATCCATTGAGCTGCTCTCAGAGTAGCGTATGCTAAGAAGCTTATCTGTGTTAAGGACCTGCATTGATGCAGACTCCCCAGTGAAGGCAGGATAAATGAGGCGGGTGGCAGATGTGCTTTATCCCAGTGCAGCCCTTTTACACCAGGGAAAAGGAAAAGGAGATGGGTGCAGGCACTGCCAGAAAATGAATTTTGAGATCTGGATAATGAGAGTTTTGAGCACGAGATTCTGAAGCCATTCTTCAGGTCCAGCTGACCTGCTCTAAGACCTCCCTTCATTCCCAGAGCATGTCAGCTCTGGATAAGGCTGCTCTAACTAGCAACAGCCCAGCAGCAACCATTATACCAGTCAGGGATTGCTAGAGCCCAGTAACACTTTGACTGCACTTCTCCTTGGCCTAACCCTACATGCTAGAAACTAGCTGCCAGCTTCTCTGGCTATACACCCTGCAAAGAGTCTCCATACCAGGAATCCTCAGCTGCTTACTGGTGGCAGCTTTTTATGGCCCCTTTACACTGATAGGTGATACGTTATCAGAGCTGAGGAGCCGGCCTGAGGTCTTTGTCATTCACAGTCCTGCTTCAGTGAGACAGATGAGGCATGTTCCTGACTGCAGAGTTTGGAGCATGAGTCTCAGTAGGGTTTAGATTTTAATGCTGTGCCTGAAATGGCCTTTTGCTGCAGGCTTCCTAAAAATAGTTCCACCCACTCCCTCAAATCACTGTTCTGCTTTCTGTATTTGAGGCCTGAGAGTCCCGTTCTGGACTGCAATGATGAAAAGCTAATCCTCCTCCTGCATCCCTCTCCCCACTTCTTGAAACTATTCTCCGCTCCATGTCCCTCCTCAAGCCCTCATTATTAACCTGCAGCCTTCACTCCTGTCCCTGTTTTGCCCCAGGCTCTGTCATGCTTCTTGTGGCCTTCCTGATGTCCTTGTGGGCCTCGATCCACCAACCCTGTTGAGTAAATAGGCTTGAAACCACATGCTCCATTGCTGGTTTCCACAGGCCTACTTTCACATGCTCTGCTTTCTGCTCCCTGAAATTACTGACCTGGAGCTGACTGTGACTTGGAGCTCATCACTCAGTCACATCTACTCAAACGCTGTCACTGGGCCTATGCTAACTCCTCAGAGACTCTGAGATATGACTTTAAGGGGCATTCAGCTCTGTCGCCACTCTGCATGTCAGTATTTCAATATCTTCCTGCCCGGCCCTACTGGCCATGCTTGTCCAGCCCTGACCAGACCGGAAACGTTACACATTGTACTTTAGAGAGTTTGTGCATGCGATGGGAGGGGAGAGGAGTATTGGGTTTTGAGGTTAGGTAGATGTGTATTTTCATTTGCAAAATGCAGGGGGGTTACACTTGAGGTTGTATTTGGGACTGCCTGGGTATACAGCAGACTATGTCTCTACACGGTGAAAATGTCCATGTGACAGTTGTGATTATAAAGGTGGTGGTTCCTGTCTGGGACAAAGTCTCAGGACTCCTGGGTTCTCTTCATGGCATTGCCACTGCCCTGTTGAGAAGTCCCTTTAATTACCTCTCTCCTGCTTTTTTTGTAGAATGGGGATATTTCCTTCCTCGCAGCTGTGCAATGAGAGGTAATACACTGAGATCCTCAGGTGGAAGGAAAGAGAAAATGTTTGTGTGTCTGTGCAGAGTGAGGGGCATGTTTGTTTGTGTGGGTAGGTGAGCTCTGTGTGTGGGAAGGGTGTCTGCATGTGGTGTGGCTGTGCAAGAGTGGTGGTTGTATCTGAGGCCTGCTTTACATACAAGGGCACACCAGTTCAATGCACGGTGTGATTTTTCGATTGGCTTAAACAAACGGGCACTGCCTTGGTGTGGATGCTCTTAAATGGAGTTCATCCTGGTTTGCACCAGTGCAGAAACCTGCAGGGGCAAGCTAGGTTTCCTGTGGTGTAAATGCATCCACACAGGGATTAATAGTTAGCAGTTATTTTTAACTAGATTAAACTCAGCCAAGGTGTGTATGCAAGCCTGAAGTGGCGAATGTGCAGCGTGGTCTGCATGTGTGTTTCAAAGGGGTAGGCTGTGGGTAGCTGGAGGTGTGTCTGCATGCTGGGGGTGCGTGCAATGATTGCACATGGATACCCAGCACTGTCAAGCTGAAGCCCAGACACCTGATTCCTCGTCCCCCGCCTGTACCTTTTTTCAGTACCAGTCAGGAAGTGGGACGTGGTTTGGGGCTTTTTATTCTCGGCCTTGCTAGCCTTTTCGATACTTCGGGGCCTCATCTCGTTCTGACGGGGCGAACGAGCTGCAGCTTCCTGTGCAAAGGTGAGAGGGAAAAGAGCTTACTTAAGCACAAGCCCTGTGCTCTCACGGAGCTGGCCAGCTCCAGTCTCTCTCCTCTGGCTCCAGCAGTCCCAGCTAGCCAGCAGCCAGGTGCTGAACTGGGAGCCTGCTGTCTCCACCTTTCGCTGACTGAGGACCACCACATTACATCCACTCGATGGGCAGGTCCAGCCACTGAGGGGCATCTGCGACCGGGCCACCCAGCAAAGGAGGGCACCACACAGACAGGTAATGGGGTAATGCCAGACAGCTCCCATGTAGAGGCGGCTGAATGCAGAAGGTTCTTGGAAGGAGTTTCAATCTGACGCATTTTTCCTAGCACTTGAGGAGATCTGATCATTTATTTATCTTTCTTTCTTTCTGTTTCCACATCCCTTCTCCTCTCATCCTGTCCCATACCTCTCACAGACTGCTTCTATTTTTTTTCATTGTTGTTGTCTTTCTTTCTCTGAACTGACATCGTTTATCAGAACCGAAATCTCTCTTGCGTGTCCAATGGCAACCTTAGCCCTCTAGTAATCCACCTCCTCTCCTGCCTTGGGCTTCAGCTTGTGTCCTTGCTTTTCTTTCCTTTTTTATATCCTTATGACAAGATATTTAGCAGAATTCACGGATTCGCGGGAATCTGACAGGGCCATGCTGCGAGTGCTTCTGCTGTGACCTCAAACTTGAGACCTCTGGGCTGTCAACCATGTGCCTTAGCACCCACGTCCGCCACCCCCGCCCCCTGTGTTTTTGCTTGCTACAACAATCCCCAAGCCCCCTGTTCATGGAGGAAGAGGGTTGTCCCCTCTTATCGGGGTAAGTAAGATCACCTGGATATGGGGGAGACTGGGGAACATAAGGATATGGGGAATGAATGTCCCACTCAGTCTACGGCAGCAGAGAGCTTCACCCCGTCCTGCCTTGAAAGGAGCCATATATGCAAGGGAAGGACTAAAGAGTTTGAATTCCTCCACCATGGAGGGCTCCCTCTGAGGCAGCATGGGGGATTTCTAGAGAAGCAGTTGTGGTTGAAGGGCATGTGTGCTTGTATGGTTAAACCTTTGTTTACCGTGTTGGGCACCTTTTTCCTTATCCCTTTATATAATCCCTGTCTCATTCAAGCCCTCTAGGCTCTGTCTGCTGATTCTCCTGCTAACTCTCTCTCTGACATCCAGAAAGCTCCCTTTCCCCTGCAGCTAATGATATGAAACCATGTATTTGCCTCCCTGCAGTCTCTAATGCTTGCAGTTACAAAAAGAGTCTTCCCACACCATGCACTGGGTGTGACCTATGCAGCTTCTCTGCCTGAGTCAGCGACCAGCCTGAAACAATAGGGCTGAGTGGGGTGCTGTTATACTCATTTCAAGAACACTGTAACTCTGCAATCAATATAAATGTCAGTACTGCTGATAGTCAGCTTTGTTCAGCAGTTGAACAAGGGAGGAGACAACTCAGATGATGAAGAGATGTGCAGTCAGAGGAGTGGATTCTCCTTCGTGTGACATGGGTAGTTAGGCTGCTTTGTAGAGAGATCTGACTTAGGGCCTGTGCTGAGAAGTGCCACCTTGCTGCTTTATTGGTTTTTAAGTCAAACTACTGCTAATAGCACTGAGGGAGGATTGCTGTAGGAAACCCTCACGTGCTCCCAGAAAAGAAGTGGGGGAGATCACATCCCGACCCGCGCTGGTGACATCCTCTTCTCTCTTTCAGTGTAATCCATTCCTGCACTCAACATCAATGAAGTCCTCCTCTCCCTTTCTCCTTCATGTCAAGCTGTTTGCTCTCCTGGCCATCACACTGGCATCAGAAGCCACACAGGGTAAGAATGGATCCCTTCTACACTCCATCAGGGATATCAGGGAGGTGTGTGGGTGAGACAGTGCACAATGTTGTTTGTCACTCTGCTGTATGGGAGGAGGTCAACCTGATGTGGGGCTTCCTCCTTGCCCTGAAGCCTGTCAAGAAGCATGGAAGCAAAGGACTATATGAGTAACGCAATAGGTAGTGTTCTTTCAGAGGCACCCCATTTTGGAGGGTGTGAGCAAGCAGGTAAGAAGAGGCTGTAAGCTTCTTTCATTCTTGGTTGGAGATGTTTCTCCAGTGTGTTAGTCCACCCGTGCATTGGATGCTGGGTGGAGCTGGATGGAATGCTCCTGAATACCTAATGCCTTTTGGGATGAGGGAATTAATGGAATTAATCTCCTTTCTGTTCACAGGATCCTCAGAACTAGCATGCTTTTATGACTCAGGGGTAACTCTCTTTTGCACCTGGATTCCAGATGGGACTCTCACAGAAGTACCATGTCAACTTCATGCTGAACTTCAGGACCCTTCTCCTGACCACTGGTATGTTTTTGACATGATTTAGGAAAAGCATGGAGTAAATTGTGGTAACATGATTCTTTCCAATACAGCTGGGCTGAGTCCACAAGCAGAGAAGCTGAGATGTCTTCTCAAACCTGGAGTAGCTAGGATGTTGGCCACCCCTTTATGCATCATTCCTCTTTCCATGGTATAACAAAAAATCTAGCTCAGCTTCTCCTTTCCTGTTTAATTTCTGTAATTTGATTCATTGTCTTAAGAGCTCTCCTACCAGTAGACTGGCTGATTTCAGACCATGAAGGGCACTGGTAACTGGACCAGGGCACTGCTGGTCTGCCTAGCAAGAGGATATAGATCAGGGGTGGGCAAAATGTGGCTTGTGGGCCAGATGTGGCCCACCAGGCCATTCTATTTGGCCTGTGGGGGCCTTAAAAATTTTAGAAAATTAATATTTATCTGCCCCTGGCTTCCTGTCATGCGGCCCTCAATGGCCTGCCAAAACTCAGTAAGCAGCCCTCCACCCGAAAAAATTGCCTGCCCCGATGTAGATTTATATTGGCTTCTTCTAAAGCAGCAATGGGCTTCTTAAGAAATATTCTACCCTGGAGGGGGGATGGGAGTGAGGGGACATGCTGCTGAGGGCAGAGGGGAAAGGAGGAGGTACCAAGAGGGGAAAGTGGGACTGGGAACGAGATTCTTAATTGACTTGGGAACTGATCTCATGCTAGTCTGCCTGCCAGGGGTGGCCCAGGAGCTGGGAGCAAGGCGTGCAGCCCCCGTGCTCCACTTCACAAAATCATGGATCTGCTCATGCCCTTCTTTAGTACCTCATTCACTCCCTGTTCTCCATGGTGATGGTGGCAGGGCTGTCGCCACCACTGACTTCAGTGGAAGCTGGTGCTGGTTCTGTAGTGGTTAGCTGTGGTGTGAGGCCCACTTTATGGTGGTTAGCTAGGTTATCCTTTCAGAAAGAGTCTTCATTTGGAGATGGTAGTAGGTGGGTCTCTGTTGATGGCTGGCAGCTTCCTTTAAGTGGTATAAGAGTGTCCAGTAGGTAATAGCTCTCCTTGGGCTATGGAAAAGGCAGAACAGGGGGCTGCCATATGACAGTGATGGGTCAGAGGGCTCAGGGCTTCTTTCTGGCACTGGGTCTTTGAGTTCTGCCCTGGGCCAGAAACCACATATACCAGCAACAGTGGGAAGAGGACTTCCACTCAGAAAACCACCTATTTTATGTCCTCCCTTTCTCTCCCCTTCCACCTGCCCATGCCGGGGTAGGATGTAGGAATGATTATGTGGCACAGTTCGGTCTTCTCAGCAGTCCTGGGGGGCATTGTAGGAGGGAGTTTGTTTGGCAGCAACTGCCACAGTTGTATGGAAGCTACTTATGGGTGCAGCACCTGGCTAGGTGGGGAGCACAGCTCTGGAGATGAGCTCCCTTTGAGGACAATGTGGAAGCAACTTTCCTATTTGTCTTTAGTGCCCCACCCTGCTGCCTAGGATTAGCGGGCTGGCTTCCTCACGGCTCTCTACTGGGTAGTGTGCACAGATGGAGCAGTCCCTGGGCTCCCTCAGGAGAATGGATTGCATTGCCTTTCACATTGGGAGGGGGGATGTATTAGGGGAGCTGGGGATAGAACTTAGCAGCAGATCCAGGAACAAGGCACAGGCAATGTGGCCCCCGCTTTGGCTGTGCTGTGAATGTACAGTGAGCTCTAAGCTCATTGCCTGGTCAGTGCAGGCTCCTGCCAGAGCTCTGCCTGAACTGTGAGCTCTGAGCTCACTTGTTGACTAGCGTGGGTTCCAGTGAGAGCCCCTGCTTTTGCTCAGCCCCAGAGCCTAGGGGGTGAGCAGTGCTGCTGTTCACCCTCAGACTGAGCAGGGAGAGGAACCCCCCTGTTGTGACTAGACACAGCTGGAATCCAGTTGTGCCCCACAGATGTCCATTGGTGTTTTGCTGCTGAGGTTCAGGTTAGTGGGGACAGGAGCACAGTGTGCTTGAGAACAGGAAAAGAGGCAGAAAGTACGAAATGAACTGCTTGGAAAGAAATGACTGGTATGGGGTTGCAAATGAACAAGCCCTGCTGCACCGCCCAGAGACTGTTCATGTTTCCAGGGTTTGCCAATGGAGCCCAATAACAGTGCTGCTGTTCACCAGCCCCAGCCCCTTTCCCAATGAGTTCAACAGCCAGGGAAAGAAAGGGAAGAGTGGCAAAGACAGTGCTCACACCCTGGGCTCTGGAGCTACATGAAAGCCCTGGCTTCAGGCAGCCCCTGTGTGGACAGCTCACATGTGACACAGTCAAAGAGAGGTGTGACCACACCATTTTACCCCCTCCAGATCCACCCTGATAGAGTTCCTTGTGCCCTTGCCCTCCCTGGCCCATTCACACAAGTCTCCCCGTTCTTATGCATCTCTTTAGCATGCCCCTCCCCTGCCTCTCTTGTACCAAACCAGCCCTATGTGGATTAGGGCAGGGCCGGAAAGAGAAGTCTGTGTAAGGAGCCCTCAATTTGGGTGACTCAGTCTTCATCTGATGAGGGGGAGGAGAGATTCTTTTTAAAAATCTTCCCCAGGCTCCTGCTGCAGAAGCTGAGCCCACTGCCCTATTCCTTCCCACAGCACCTACATTTGTTTTGCATCATTTTGTTTCCAAGGGGATCTTGGCAAAGCAAAGGCCTAGACACCTACTTCTTTGAATAAGAAAAGCAGATTGTGTCCTTCCTGAGAACCAAAGATCAGCTTTGCCTACTGGAAGCTCATCCAGGCGCTTCTTAAATGTTGGGGTCAAATTACAGGTTTCCCTTGCTTTATGCTGTACGTGCGTTCCTGGAAAATGGCGCGTAACTCGAATTCACATAAAGGGAACCCACTTTACAATGTAACAAATAGGGATACGTTCCAAGACCTCAGCTGTACTGACCCCCAGACTTATTTCTATCACTTTTACAAGACAATTTTGGTACTCACCAACAGCACACAGGCAGCTGCCACTGCACACTGTGCTTTGCACCCAGCTGCAGCTGCCCTGGAAGCAGCACCATTGGGCTGTGCCGTGCTGCCTGCCTGGCAGTGGGACACACACGGCATCACGCTGCTCCTGGGGCAGCTGCAGCTGCAGAAGCACAGGTACCAGCTGCCCTGGCTTCCACCATGCTAATCGCATAAGAGTGAATTTACCTCGCATATAACAAATTTTTGGTATAAAAAGGGTCATCGCATAAGAGCGAATTCACACATACAGAACTTGCATAAATCGAGGGAAACCTGTGTTGCTATGCACCTTGCCTGTGGCTACACCTACTGTGAGGAGACCAGTGCAGGGCACAGTAGCTCACCCAGTGAGAGGGACACTTTGTGTGGACCAAGTGACATCAGAGGCCTGGGATCCTCACTGGATGCTTGTTGATCTTCGTCTTGGAGCCTCCCTGGTTATATAAAGAGAGAGTGGTTGCAGGGCCTTCTGCATGAGGGCTTTCAGATTCTGGACTTATCTCATTCCAGTTTGGCCTGAAAAACATTGTGACTGAGTGACTTTTGCGCCTTCTGCCAAAGTTATGTGTATAAGAAGTGTATGAAGCAGGACTCTGTAGGGAGCTGGTTAAGCTCCTGTTGGCCTGAAGATATCTGTGGCTGGGATTTCCTTGGATTTTCTTATCAATGATATTAGGGGTCTAAGAGTCATGGAGAAGCCTCATTTTTGTTAAATTAAAATGAATACATCCAAAGTCCTCAAGTTCATCAATGCTCTCACACCAGCAAACCATGGTCTCCTCTTTCTTACAGGTGCTGCAAGGGAAAATGTAAATTATGCGGGGTTGGCCCCAGGAGATGTGACCTTGCCTTCAACAACAAGACTAATGTGGGTAACCTCCCTGGAATTAACCAGCTAATAAAAACCTGGGGGTTGTAGTTTTCTGCTAAGAGACTAAATTTTATTTCCTGATTCCAGTTATCTGACTTGGGGCACGGTTACAAAAGTGGTAATAATTATAGACATCTGGCACAGGTCAGAATCCCATTGCCATCCCACTCAAGCTGTTGTAGTCTCCAGGGGATAGTGAATTTAGTATCCCTTCCTTCCCTCTCTGTTTGATACCTGTTATGCTTTATGTAGGATCCTGCCTCTTTTTTTATGGATTAGTCCAGAGCCCTCACATTGTGCTTGTGGGACCCACGCACTTATATCAGCAGTAAAGCTGTGACACAACTTGACCAATAATACTTAAGTAGCTGCTTTGCCATTCCAACCTGACTCAGCCCATTTTTCTCCCTTGGGGAAGAATGGATGGCAAGCCTTGAATATTCAAATACTCTCCTCTTCCTGCCTCAGCTTCCCCAGTCAGGCTAATGCCCTTTCCCTGCTAATTAGTATCTGTGAAGTGCTGCAGGATCCTTTGCATGCTAAGGGTCATGCAAAGGAGTAGACCTTGCCATGACAGACACTTTAGAAATATGGTTACGAGGCAGGTAACTTGTACTAATCACAAATTCCCCTTGCAGATACCTGCCTTGACTTATTCAGACAGGCTTACCCTGACTGTGTCCTGCCAAACTGGGGAGAACTGGACAATGGTGAAGCAAGAGAAGAAATTTTCGCCATTTAACAACAGTGAGTGTTGACCTGTCGTTCCATTCCCTCAGGCTTCTCCATTCCAGACTACCTGCCCAGTGGGCAACCTGGTCTTCACCAAGCATATGGAGCCCACTGTTTTTCCCTCCTCTTCTGCAATTGTCTGCTCCCTCAGCCACCAGAGGCCCACCATGCTGCTCTGGCTTTGACCTGCTGCTTCATGCTAGCTACCCAAGCCTGGGGTCTGGATCTACTGGCAGCGAACTGTAAAAAAGACACATTCGTTGTCTTCAAAAGCACTTAGAACAAGCTCTTCACCTGGTGTAAATCAACAGAGGTGATAGGGCATCTCCATTTTACACCAGATGGCCTCATGTACCTCCAGAGTGGGGAGAGGAGCCACCCTGTTGTGTCTGGACACAGCTGGAATCCAGTTCTGCTCCATAGAAGTCCATGGGTGTTTTGCTGCTGAGCCTAGTGGGGACAAGAGCACAGTGTGCTTGAGAACAGGAAAAGAGGCAGAAGGTCTGAAATGAACTGCTCAAGCGAAATGACTGGGATGGGGTTGCAAATGAACATGCTGTGCCGCACTGCCCAGAGACTGTCCATGTTGCCAGGGTTTCCCAGTGAGGCCCAATAACAGAGACAGTGAATTACTACTTCAGTTTTTGCTATGGCACTTCATAGTGTCTGTGTCAGCCCGTCTCTCCCTCTTCTCTCTCCAGTCCAGATGAGGCCACCAGACACCCTCGAACTGGTAAACGACACTGGACACGTCTACAACTTAACGTGGAGACTTAGTGTTTCTTCTCATTACTTAAATGAAAAACGGGAATATGAAGTACGGTTCCGAGCTCAGAATAAGCACTCTTATAATAAGGAGGTGAGTGCAGGGGCCTGGATGGGTTTCTTCTGCTGTCGTACCTCAGGCCTATAACCATAGGTGGAGGCCTGGACCTTGCTCCCACAGAGAACTTGCCTTTCCCACTGAGGGTTTGTCTATGTCACATACCTAACACTCCTGGCCTTTCTCTTAATCAGAGAAAGGCCTTGGAAAGGTTGAACCACCCATCCACTCTCATCTGGATCTCTAAGGGTACCCTCCACCCCCCAATTCTGAGCATGCCAGAAACAGAGATCTCAAGAGCAGTTGTGGGAGCACCCATGGAGCAGCTTCCCTACAGGTTTCACAGGTATAAACAGGAGCAGGTGGGCAGGGTGTACTTGAGAGTCACCCTCCCTGGAAGTCCTGGTGATGTGGTGAAGACATAAATGTAGAGGCTAGACCCTTGCAGCACTCACTGCAAGGGCAAACAGCTCCTTTCTCCTGGGAGAAGCAGATTTTTAGGGAGACCAACTGAATCCGTTTCATTTGCTGAGGTGTGATGGAGGTGCCATGCAAGCAAACAGAATTCCCAGTGTACCCAGTGTTAAGATGAGAGGAATGGTATCCTCCCAGTATTGGAGAGTGTGGAGTCTGGAGAGGAAAAGGGTGGAGAGGGTCTCCTTTCCTTTGTCCAATAGGCTTCAATGTGGGCAAGGGCTGTCCCCCTGATACCTACCGGCTGTGAGGGACTCCTCTCCAACTGAACTGCAGAGATGTATAAAGGGATGGGGAATGGCAATAACTCTGTAACTTTTACTCTGCCCAGAATTTTACATTCATCAGCATCAAGCAGGATCAGGAGTGGGTGAAGTTTGATAAACTTCTGCCTGACTCAGAGTACGAAGCTGCAGTTCGTGTGAAACCAGGCAGTCAAAGTGGTTTCAAAGGCAAGTGGAGCAACTGGAGCAAAACCATAACATGGAGGACCCATCCTAATGGTATGGAGCTGTGGGCAAGGGTCACAGGGAAGCAGGTTTGGAATGTGGAGGCCAGGGCCTGTAGACCGGGGAAGACAAGGGAGGCAGTGTCCCTACCTCATTTCTAGGTTTGACATGTATGAACAAGATGGGCAGGGCATACTTGAGAGTCATCCTCCCTGGAAGTCCTGGTGATGTGAAGACATGCCTGCAGAGTCTAGACCTTACAGAACAGGCCATGGAGTTGTGTGGACATGGAGGAGCGCACTAATGAAAGAACAATATAAACACCAGAGATCACTTTGGCAGGTCCTAAAACCAGACACAGGTGAACCGGGCCTGAGCCCCACTGAAGTCACTGGCAGAACTCCTCCAACAATTTCCCCTCAAGACTCAAACCTCACAGAGCAGTGGGACATCCCTCTAGCCTGCAAAGCAAAGGACCAGGAAGGATATTTTCCAAAGCACCCATTTGATCTAGTGTGTGTCTGCGCCACAGCAGCAGAGATCCATGTCACTGCTGAGAAAACAAGTCCCATCAACCTGTTGCCCACTCCTCATATGTCAACTCAGAAAGGAGATGGAGAGAGCCCCTGAGGGGCTGCCTCAGCATTGCATTCAGGACCTGGATTTCTGACATGCTCAAGAGTGGTGGCTTGGCATGCCCCAAAGGCACCCTCATCATCTCATTTCTGAGGTCTAATGTATGTGGAGTGGATGCAGGTGGGCAACCTTATTTCCTCAGAGGCACAGCTAAGCACCCTGCCACTGCAGTATAGACGGCACTAACAGTTTACTGCCGGGTAAAAGGGAGCCAGGCCTATCAGCAGCTCCATAGTAAGTAGTCCCACTTTCACTGAGGGCTAAGCTACCAAGATTTAGCTTCCCTTTATAGCAGGGTAAGAGTGGGCGCACAGATGATTACAAAAGCAGCTGACATGTAGTGAAGCCTCATCCTTTCTCACCCACAGTAAAAGTTTCACATGTTTATACCCTCGGGACCCCAAGCTCAGTATCAAAAGTAATCAGGCAGCTTAAGCCTCCATTGAAAATCAACAGGACTTATACTCCTATGACACTTGGGAAAGTGTTACTCCAAGACTTGGACCCACCTCTCTCATGTGGTAACACAGAGCAGTCCTCTGCATCCCCTGGATATCTTGCCCAGTCAGAGCCCCACAGTGAAACGGCAGCAAGGAGGACACAACTTGCAGCCTTAGAAAAGACCACATCCATCCCATGAGTTGCCCACTCCAGGCATGTGTCATTTCTTCATAGGATACAGGTAGCTGGCAGTACCTGCATTGCACCTGGTGGTGGTATAACCAGAGGAGCTATGTTTAGAAAGGGCATTGTGCTGCTGCAGCATTTAAGTTTTACCAGTGTGATGTCAATGAAAAGGATACAACGACAACCAGTTGTCATAGCAACTGGGACCCAAAGATAACTAGGTACCCAAGGCTGAGGAGACAAAGGGAACTTGCTAACATCTCAAGGACAGGCTATGAGAGAACCTTGCAGAAAGGCAGCCTGCTCTGTTCCCCTTCTGTCCTCTGTGTCCTTTCCAGGGGAGCTCTGCAGGCCCAGGCTGACGTGCACTGGCAGAGGGCACACAGGATGAGGAACAGCAGGATGGAGTGGAGGTGCTTTGTGAGAGCTGCGTAGGAGTGGCAAGCTAGGAGTGGCAGAGGGTGCTGGAGGCTAGGCTGAAGGGGTCTGGGCAGAGCTGAGAGAAGAAGGGGACTTGCTGATTAAGGCATGCTAGCTGGCAGAGACTTGTATGTCAAATCTCTTTTCCCAGAAGGAAAATTAAAAACTGGATGGGAATGGATAAAGAAAAAGAAGTCTGAGACCTGTTCTCCCCAGGTCTTGTGTTCTGCTTGGCTCTTCCCAGTAACCCTTTCTTTGCTTTTGCAAAATTGACAGAATCAGCCGCCCTGGTTGCTCCCCAGCCCATGCTGCTAGCTGTTATAGGAAGCTCATGCACCGCTCTCCTCATCCTCGTCATCTTGCTCCTTAACTCCCGGACACTGAAATGGTAAAAAATAGTGGAGTGTTACTCTCCAGAACTGTCACACGCCGGTGTGTCTTCTTGACGCGCGCTCTGTCCTTTGCTTTCTCTCTCTCTCATAGTGATACTCATGTGAAGGAACAAGCCAAAATAGGTGAGGACTGGGCCACGCAGGAGATGGAGCATCAAGCAGGATCAGGAGTGGGTCAGGAGTGGGCCAGTCTGATTTGGAGTCAAACCCCTCAGGTTCATGAAGGATAGTTAGCATAGCGTTAATGTGGATGACTACAACATGGTAGTGTTTGCATTGTGATGTCATGACTCACTCACAGTGTGATGTCATGGCATCACCTGGCTTTAACGAAATGTGCAGTGCCGGATTTAGGTTTAAGCTACTTAAGCTACAGTTTAGTGCCTCACAATCTGAGGGGACTCTAAATAAGAAAAAAAACCTGGACATTTTCGTTCTAATATGACAAAAATATATGGGGCTCCACAGTTATTATTCATATTGAGTTCATAAATGTGTGCAGAAATAATAATAATTCATCTTAACAGTTCATGAATATCCATTTTCGTGGATTATTTTTATCATATGGGGCATCTTAAAATGGACATAGTTTAGGGCCTTAGTGTGTCATAATCCAGCACTGACTGTATTTTTTTTGTCTCTGGACTTTTATTGTCTCTGGACCCATTTTTTATCACCCAGTGCCCGAATGCTTTTGAAAATCTAGCCCTCTGTTTGAAATCCCACCTCCCTCCCCTCACAGAGCACAGCCTGTGATTCACTGAGTCACACTTAAATGGGAAGAACAAAGCTCAGGTGGGATGTACATGGTGCTTGCTCTATTTGGAATCCCATTACACAGGGGTGGTTTTCATCCTCCATGCACAGATCCTAGGCTGGGCCATCCAGCCAAGACTGTCACCTAGCCTTGTGGTAGATAATGACCCACTGCTGTTTCTGAAGGCTCCTTCCCCTCATTTCTGTCCTGGTGCTGTTCTTAATGCCAAACGTGTGGCACAAAGTCATGAAGTACAACAATACAGAGAGGAGTCTGACAGCATCATGGAAATTAAGAGGCCTCAAGTTTAGTTGCCTCAGCTTGAGGAGGGACACACGGAAATAGAAGGACAGATGCAGCACAGCCATCAGAGGTGGAAGGACCCAGGGGGGTGGGAGGGTAAGGGGGCCTTGTATAAGGAGGGATTGCAGAATGGTGCTGCTTCACTTGTGAAGAAAAGGAAAGTATTGGGAATGTAGAAATGAATTACCAAAATAGAGAGAGAGATGACTGGCTGCTCCTGTTTACCTTGTGTCTTAAAACAAGGGCAAAGGAGCACTCAGTTTACAACAAATATAGACAGATAAAAAGACCTCCTTTCCCCTTGGTACATAGTTAACCTACAGAACTCAGCAATGCAGGGTAATGCTGAATATGATTCTAGAAAGAATTAGATATGTGTGACTAAGAATACCATTTGCAATGATGTGGGCTAGCCTGTCACATCCTCATGCTTCAGAAAGAAGATAAAAATAGCCTTTTCTCTGCGGCTTTAGTGGACAGGACTATGAGTATTGGCCTCAAACTGCAACAGAGCAAATATAAGTTGGAGATTCAGGAGAACTTTCTCACGATATGTGCAGTTAAGTATTGCAACAGACTACCTAGAGATGTTGTGGAATTGCCAGCCCTGGAATTTTTCAAAAGCAGATTAAACAGACACTTAACTGAGATGTCCTGGTCAGGGATGATCCTGCCCTGAGCAGGGGGCTGGACTAGGTGACCTTGCCTTCCAGCCCTACTGTCTTATGATCCTATGATCTCTGATAGTAGAGTGCCACACTGTTAAGACACACAAGGAGATTTTGGGCACCTAAACCATTCAGTATCGGCAGCAAAGCAGATGGGATGGGCGTGGCTCTGCTCTGGTGTGGCAGCAACTTTGCTCCAGTATAGCAAGCAGTGCCACAAGGGTTGCAAGTGTTATAAATTACTGCCACATCATTGGCATATTCCAGTGGTGCCATGCAGTGACCTAAAAATAGGGGGCTGAGCTATGACCTTGCCAAAAAGACCACCATGTCCTGCTGCTGAGCCTGCATGGCTCTGCAATCTTTTGTGTAGCTATGATGGCAATAAAGGGAGGCAGTATCCCTTTGTGGTGACCAGGCTTTAGAAACCATTGGCAGCCTCAAGGGCGACCTTGCCAACTTGGCAGGAAATGAAAGGAGTGGACAGACCTGGGCAACAAGGAGAGGCAGGTGTGGAGGTTGGTAGGTGGTGGCATTGTTATTAGCTCTGCTTCCCTGGGGGCAGGCTTGCAGGGAAACAGATCTTCTAGCACCATGTTCATCTCTCAACCTTTATATTTCTTATGTGCTTATTTGCTAGTGCAACTGGGTTTTTTTCTAAGAGTACAAGAAAGGATAGAGAGCTCTAGGCCACACTTCTCCCTCATTCACCGCACTTTTATACCAGTGTAGCTCAAATGAATTCAGTTTATATTGTTGTGAGTGAAGGATCTGACCCCTTTAAAAGCTGTTTTAAAGCTGTTCTCCTTCAAGGTCATGTTCACTTTGCGCTCTTTTTTCTCTCCCCTGAAGGTTTAAGAAGTTCCTGAAGAGTCACATTCCAGACCCAGCCAAGTTCTTTCCCCCGCTTGGCACTATTCAAGGAGGTGATGTTCAGGTATGAGGCCTAGGGAAAAGCTGGGCATTTGCCTGGTCAAATGAAGTGGGAGGGCCCCATTGCCTCCTTCGCGCTGCAAAGAGCATGGTGATCCAGGTTTGCATGTATGCATGCTGTACTGGACTGTCCAGCACTGGCTTGTAAGATATTGGCTTTAATTTTATTTTTGACCTTCTAAAAATTGCCATTCGGCTGATGCGTCTCTAATTACAGAACCGAGAAACTACAAACCACGCAAACCTCAGTGCCTTGCTCCACTGACAGGAAGGCTTGAGAGAGAGAGAGAGAGCAAAGGGCTTGCAGGACAGCTTGAGCTGCCTGGATTCTGCCCCCCAGCCTGTTTCTGTCTTTACTGGATTTACTTCCTGGGACCCATTCCCATGTTCTATTTTTTTCTCATATCCTTCCATACCCCTCTCCCTCTGCCTCCACTTCTCCTCCTTTTCTCCTTCCGAGTGATGCTGTTGAAAAAAAGGCAAACACCATTCTGTGCTATACTAACAGGAGTGGTGTATGGAACACCCCCAAGATACCCTTCTTGGCCCTGGTGAGGCCTCTGCTGGAGCACTGTGCCCAATTTGGGACACTGCACTTCAAAACAGGGACAAATGGGGGGGAGTTTAGAGGAGGTCCCACACAAATTACAGGAGATTAAGAAAACATGGTCTATAAGAAAAAGTTAAAAGAAGTAGGTTTGCTTAATCTAAGAAAAGGAAGACTTAAAAGGGGCCACAGAGTACTGCCATGAAATTGTTCAGACCTTTCTGCAAAAGGGGTGGTGATCAATTGTTTCCTGTGTCTGCTGAAGGTTGGCCAAGAAAAAATGGGATTCGATTGCAGCAAGGGAACCAAAAGAGTTTTCTGAATATCTAACCTTACACTAAGGGGAGTTGCATGTGGGAATAAGCTGCCTGGGGAGGCTGAGAATTTCCTGTTACTGGAGGTTTTTAAAGACAGGTTAGACAAACATCTGTCAAGGATGATCTAGGTATATTTTGTCTTGATTCTGAGTATGGTGGTGGGTTAGATTAATTCTTTAGATGCCTTCCAGCCCCACATGTCTGTCATTTCTCAGTCACTTCATCTCGTTCCATTCTGCTCTTTCCTCTTTCTCTATCACTCTCTTTTATTTAATCTGTTCTCCTTTTCTACTTTCTGCCCTTTCCCTATGGTAATCACAGAGGGAAGGCTCCCACATCCTGCTTCTTAGTTTAAAATGGCAGACAGCCTGGGGAGCTTGTATTCTCTATGGAGATCCCAGAGGAGTGATGTCAGCAGCATCTGTTCCCTATGGGAAAGCCAAAGGAGAGGTGCTGCAAATCTATTCGCTGTGGGCATGTAGGAGGAATGATGTTAGGTCTCTGTCTCTTGTGAGAGTATAATATTCCTGCCACTTTGAATATAACAGTGTTTCTTTTGTGTGTCTCCTCCCTCTCCCATCAGAAATGGTTCTCCTCTCCATTCTCCATGTCTTCCTACTGTGTAAGCAACATCTCCCCAGAGATCTCAGTGCTCGAAGTAATGCAGAAGAAGGACCAAGAATCCCAGCTTCTCCTTCCCAAGCTATTCATCACCTCTGGAGGCTCCCCAGAAACCAGTGGGCACTCTGTGTCCAGCTGCTTCACCAACCAAGGCTACTTCTTTTTCCATCTCCCCAACTCTTTTGAGATTGAGCCATGCCAGGTATACTTCACCTATGAGCCTTTCACGCAAGAGAGCAGCAGCAGTGAAGATGGTGACTCCTACAGGGCACTCCCCTCCCCAGACCACTGCATGCTGGTGGATAACACCCCACTGTTCCCCTCCCACTTTCTTCACCCCACTGAAGGCACCCAAGGTTTCCAAAACAGATCCTTTGTGGGAGAGACAGAAGACATAGTCAGTGAAGTCAGGGTGCCTTCTGAGACTCCTCCATCAGATGAGAGTGCCTCACTGACAGCAGCACTGGAGCAGAATAAGAAGAGAAATGAAAATAATACAGTATTAGAGTCCTCTGAGTGCCCAGACAAGGCTGGCGTGGTCTTCTCAAGTACTCCAAAGCATCAAGGAGTGGATGCCATTCAAATGGTAGAAGGGGTCAGGGAGACTGCCCCTCAAGTCAATTCCATTGATATTGTGGACAGTGCTAGCTCTTCATCCTCTCAACCCGTGCCTCTGAGTCAAGAGCAGATTGATGACGTCCGCAGAATTGCTTTCTCCAGCCAAGACCCTAACACTGGAGCCTATCTGTCTTTGAGGGAGCTTCAAAGCCAATACAGCCATTGTTCTGTTTAAGCTATTCCTGAGGAACTGTAAGTAAGAGCAGGAGACTTCCTCTGGAGGGAAGGATAGACACTTTGTCTGTCTGCTAAGAAGTTGATCCTTCAGCTTCATCAAACCCAGTAGCACACTTCAAACTAGCATTCATGGAGATCCTCTACTAGTACAAGGGAATGGGGCCATTAGCCAAACAGGTGGTGAGCACAGCCCAAGCCTACAACTGGTAAGGAAGTCATATTTGGAGATGGAAAGGTGTGAATGGGGAGAAGGTAGAATTAAAATAGACGAAAAACTAAAAAGGGGATGGTCAGGGAGACATACAGCTCCACAACACAGACAATGCCATGGCAACTGCAAATGGATAGATGCCAGGTATGGAATAGTGGACACATAAATTGTTAGAAAGATGGATAAGAAAGAGTTTGAGAAAAGAGGCATTAACACTTCTAAAATATTAGACAGAATATGGACTCAGAGGAGCGTAGAATTGTAAGGGTCCTCCTGAGTCATCAACTCCAGTCACCTACTCTCACAGGCAGACATGTAATTCTGTTCATAAACTGGTCAAGTTCCATCTTGAAAGGAGCTATGTTGTTTGTCCCTACTACTGTTATGGGAAGCCCATGCCAGAACACTTCCTCCCCTGCAAAATGATTTGAAAATCACATCTAGCTCTCAGGCTGAGCTGGCAGGCTTTCTCTCTCCCTCTCATGTTCTAGCCAGCCGAGCATAGATGCTTCCACGAGGCAGAAGAAATGTCTGAAAAGGCAGTGATAAGTCTATGAAGAAGGCAGTAAGACATTAGTGAGAGCTTCTGCTTCTTTATTACTATTATAATTATCATTATTTAGTTCACTGCCTGCTTTCTTCCCTCTCAGGTGGTACAAAGTCAGTGTTTTGATCAACTTGGTCAGAACTAGAAGTTTAGGCTTGGGCTTGTATGTTTAAAGAAAATTCATGACTACAACTGTCAAGCCCTGCAAGGGATGGAATTAAAAAAAAAACCCTTTGCCATGTAAAACATCCTGGGGAAAATCCCCCCACTTTGCAGGGGGGAGGGGAAACAAGAGCGATGTTGGTAGCAAGAGACAGAGCACAAAATTTCCCATTGTTGATGCAGTTTCTTTGCAAAATTGAAAGCCTGTTCACCCTGCTGGCAAAAACAGAGTTATTTCACTATGATAAGCTGATTGCGGAAGAGTCCATCCCACATCCTGTATTAGTGGAAACCATCTAAGTGCTGCTGCCCATTCCTTCCATTGCTTGAGGGGAACCATTGCCTAACTAGTGGCAAAGAGAAGTGAATCAGCAGCTCCCTGAAGTAACGTCACTGCAGCACCATTGCTTGAAACAAAAACTCAGTCCACTCGTTCGACCCCCCAAGAAATGTGGATTTTTTTTAATTGCCTCTGAAGTTCCTGATTTGGGACAGAAACAGTAGAGGAGAGGGAGATATGCAAAGGGAGGGCTGTTCCTATTGGTCCTATGGTATCCATTCTTGCCATTCCCTTTTGTATCAATTCTTTTTTGTATCAAGATTTCCTTTCCAATTTTCCAGACCTGTCTAGAAGTGGAAAATATCAATCCCAAGCTAGCAGGATTGGATCTCTTACAAAAAATTCTCCGACCAGAGAAGTTTGGGGTGTTTCCATAAAACTTCTGAAATTCACTTACAGCTAGTTCAGTACCACCTGTTCACTACCACCTGTTTCCACAGTAGCAAAGAGTCGCTTTCCTTTTTTCTGCACGTGTCCCAGAGACACAATTGCAATTAAATTCCCTTGTCTTGAGTTATTAAACTGAACATTGTGTTTATCAGAGAAGTAAGCCCACACTGGGTTTGACTTCATGACCAAAGAGCTGCTGAATGGAACCTGGCATGCTTAGAAGTGGAACTGTTGGGGAGAAGACCCCTTCCTGTGGTAGGTTGTCTATCTCCACTATATCGCACATGCCTCCGGATGCCTATGCCATGATCTCAGAGACTGAAGGTATAGGAAAGACAACAGCCTGCCCAATGCCTATGTATGTGCTGGGAAGCTTTCAAGATGAACTGCTAGGAGAAAGCACTGAATTTCTGCTCCCTGGTAGACAAGATGCTAGCTGCAATGGGCTGGTAATCCTATCCACTATGGCATTTTCCCTGAGCCTGTGTATTTTTAATAAGCTTAATCATTCTTGCTGCTAAACTAAGTAAAAAAAACAAACCTTCCCTTTTGCCAATAAAACAAAATTGTCTTTTCAAAACAGCAAGTCTCTTTCTTTTATTAGCAGAACTTGGGTTTTAGCTTGTATTGCCTAGCTGGATGGAAGCAAGTTTGTAATTGCTGACCTCCCACAGTCCACCCCTGCTGGAAGAGGGCTTGTGGGGTTGTCCCTCACAGTCAGGTACCTAGACAATGGGTTCAGGGGCTAGTAGAGGATTTGCTGCAGCACTGTACCTAGGCTCCTGGTGGTCCTGGGTGAACTTTTAGTATCGGGCCCCCCTTCGCCAGAGAATAAAAATGACCATTTTGGGGCCGACTTTCTGTCTGGGCCCCGGGTGGCTGCCTGGTTCGCCTGTGCCTGTGTCTGGCCTTGATTTGCTGTTATCTAAGGTCGGTTGGAAATTTGATTCAAGTGGAAACCATCTAAGTGGTTTTGGAGACTGTTTAAAGCATAGCACTTAGGGTCTTGGAAGTGAATGGAAAAACTCTCACTGACTTCAGTGGGCTTTGGGTCAGCCCCTTGAACAGGAAGATCATGGGGATCTTCCTGTTCAAGAAGAAACAGATGGGTCCTGCACACCTCATTACAAACAGATGGGTCCTGCACACTGGGTTCAGGAAGCAGAAGGCAGACTTCAGGAGGATTTAACTCTCTGCCCCAAACAAGTGAGGATGAAGACAACAGGTTGAGGGGAATGGGAAAAGGGTAAGAGAAGCATTATCCTCCCATCTCAGACAGTGATGTGGAGGGTGGGGGATAGTCTGAATCAATTGAGACTAATCACTTGAATTCTTTTTGGCCAATCTCATGAAGCAGTGCTGGGAGTGAATCTGCTGGAAGTCACTGAAAATCACTCTGCCTATTTTCTTACTTCTGAAATTGCTGATGGTTTTCAGACATATTAAGCAGCCACTCTGGGTGTGAATGTGTAACACGCTGTGGCAGGAAGTCCTCAATGTAAGATATGAAGATAACCGGACCTTTCTTCCAGGAAGCCTGTGTCATGTGATGTGAAGTTCTGCAAATGTGTGACTAGCTGGTGTTGTGTGTCTGTGTATGTAAGAGGCACAACATGGCCTTTTTCCCTCAATCCCTTCTTGTCTGAGCCTGAATGGGATCTTCTGAAGTGTCCTGAAGGTCCAGTGGGACTTATCCAAGTGCCATATAAGCAAAGCCACAAAGAACCCACACAGAGTCAGCTCTAGCACTAGTGACAGGTGATGGGCCAGCAGCTCCTGGGGCAGAATCCTCTACTTAGCCTGAGCACACGTACAACAAAGATAGCTGCAATGAAATCACATACACACACACCATACCCTATTGTCCCTTTCATTTCGCTTCTTCACCCCGCCCCATGGGTAAGTGGAAATTTGGGGCTGGACTCAGCCCTGGTGACGCAGCCCTTTAAATCTGATTTTGCTTTTATGTTCTTGGTTGATTCACAGATACCACAGTGATAAATGTGGTTCATGTGCTTAGATATTAGAACAGAACAAAAGTCAATAGTTCTTTTTCTACTGAGACTATTAATGAGGAGGGCATTCACTTTTCAGGAGGAATGGATGGTCCTGGGATTAAGTTGCTGGACTGGAAATGCAGTCAGGACTTGGGAGACCTGATTGTTTCGCTCCCCGCACCACCTTGAGCAGTTCACTTGCTGTAATATTTTCAAAAAGACCTAAATTGCTTGCAAGCCAGAATCTCATTTCAAAGCATTTAGAAACTTAAATTCCAATTCACTTCAATGTAACTGATGCACCTGAATCATGTTGTCATTTTCTAAATTTTTCCCCTAAGTCTGTTAAGGAGCAGGTAGGTAGTCATAGTATTTAGGCCGCTAAAGATATAAATAGGTGCTTAACACCTTGACAACATGGCCCTAAGTCCCTGTTGAAAATGGGGCTCCTAAATTGCTTAGGCATTTCAGAAAAATTTACCCTTTGTTACTCTGTGTATCAATTTCCTATCTGCAAAATGGCAATAATAATCCTTCCTAGTCCTGGGGAGTAAAGGTGGGGGATGACTTCACTGAGATGCATAAGCTGCTCCGATGTTACTGTAACCAGGGTCTTCTACTACACAGATCTGAGTAAACAGACAGTGTACAGAAATGGCTTTCAATTTCCCTTGGCTTGAGACTAGATTTGAATCAGTGCCCTTGAGATGAACAGCTATTCCTTGCCAGCTAATGCTGTTCTAATAACAAAGTTCCTCTGTTCCCCATCAGGATAATACCTGTTTTCTAAAAGGTAATTTCCACTAATGATTATCAATGAGATTATTCTGTTTACTTTGTCCTGGTTGAAGCATAGTTGCTTTTTTTTTTTTTTTTAAGAGGTACATGTGTGCAGCTATACAGGAGCCTAGTGAGGTGACTTATAAGCAGGGGGTCGCAGATCAGGAGTGAAGGGCATTGACAGAGTTGTGTGGGAGCCTGAGACTGGATCAGTAGCATGCACTAGGGGGACAGGATTAGGACTTCTGGCCAAAAAGAGAAAGAGCTCAAAACTGCTGTGACAAGGAGCCTAGCAGGTCAGGACTGAGGCCATTGGCAGAGCTGTGCATAGTCGTTATCAGGGATATTAGTTTGGACAATGCTGTATCTGTCCCAGCTTGTCTCTTTAGTCTTTTCATCACCTCTCTCCCTTCCTCCTCAAAGGCACCCACTGCCCTCAGAAAAAGCCTACTTATATGCATGTACACACACCTTTCACCTGCCCAAGTCATTTTATCTCTGTGCCATTTTTCCTTTCCCTCTAGTGGGACCAATGAATGTAACTAAGAGAGAAAGAAGTTGCTGAGCAACTAGTGGTCCCTCGAGGAGGAAACAGCAATCCACCTGCACTTGCCTTCCCAGGTGACCTTCTCAGGTAGGTGGAGAAGTACTCTTATCCTGGCTGTTTATACCACCATCCATGCACACTGTCCCTTTTTGCCAGTCTCCCTTGGATGGGATTCCTCCTCCTTCTCCATCAGAAAAAGCTACAGCTCTCCCGAGCGCATTGAATACTCTATGTATGACCAGACGGGGCAAAGGCCAAAACGCAGGAACATGGCGTCAGATTATTGATCACTGAGGAGACCTTGGCCTGAGTAAATACATGTCATTCGATATGTCTGTGCGTGAGTGTGTGGCCAGTCACACACAGAGCTGCATGTTTCAAAGGTAGGTCTGTAGCTCTGGGGGGAAACCCCAGTGTCTAGAATTAATCTAACAAAGGGAGGCTTTCTTCTGCTTGGTTTGTGGTTCCTTTTTGCTGCTGTTGTTTTGAAGGGAACCCTTGAAGGTGGACTAGCGACCCTCACCTGTTCCCTCCCACTTTGGGAGAGGGAACCCAGATGGGGAATGAAAGGTGACCACGGAGAAGCAAAAGAAGGAAACCAGTGCTTTCCATTTCAACTGTGCATGCAGGAGACAGGATGTGGTAGTGCTAAAGGATTCATCGTGCATTTCTGTGCCATCTTTGGTTGTGTTCAACATTTCTGGTGAGTTGCTTAATTTTTACGCTGTGTTCATGTGTCTCTATACTGAGGGGTGGGCAGGTGGGTGGGTATATGAGGTGGGCCACAGCACCGGGTGAAGAGAGAAGTCTGGCTGGTACTCACACACATCCATGCACACATACGAGCACAGACCACTGTACATGGATCCACAGGCATGAATACCTGAGGATTCAAGCACGTGTTTTCCTCTCACACACTGTCTGGCACTCTTCATACATTCACAGTCACGGAAACACTCAGGTGCATGCATTATCAAATAAATGCTTGGGATAACATGTCCTCTAGGAGGCATATCCTCATGTAAGCATTTTCATAGACTGGAAACCACCACACATACACTCAGGCATGAGTGTCGGTAGGTCATCAAGGTGGCAGTCCATCTTGTTAGGTTATGGCATGTCTTACCCGAGGACCATGGAGCTTGCAGGAAAGGGAGCAGACAGGAGGAAGATGGACCATTGATTGTTGTTGAATTGGGATTAAGGGCAATCAGAAGATGTTGGTCAGCAGGACAGTGAGGAAGACAAAGGACTCAATTGCCTTTGGGCATTTACCCCTTGCCACAGTCATATCCTGAGTGGGTTATAGCTCTGAGGTCCCATACAAAAGGAGCTGGAGCCCACTACCCCTGTTGAGTTTGTAATATGGAATGACAGGGTTATATTTACCTGTCCCTTTACAGATTGAAGGTCAGCTGAGGAGGCCAAAGGGGAAAGAACTGGAGAGGCCGGGTGTGATTGCAGTAGCAGAGACTGGAGCGCTCTGAAAGGACATACGTGGGACTGAGCAACACCACATGGAGATCTCAGCAGAGTTAATTAACCAGGGCTCAGCACTGTGTTAATATGGTTATATTACTTCCTGTGCCTGACCTAGCTCTGAGGGAGCTGTGGTCAGGTGTCACTGAATTGTGTCGTCTGGGCACCTTTCCAGCAGTAACAGGGTTGTGCAAGCTGTGAGTGTGTGGGTGTGTGTTCAGATACCTCCTCTAATAGAACTTAACTCTTAAAGCTACTCCTGGCCTGGTGGTCTAACACCTTAACCTGAACACAAACATGTATAATGATAAAAGTATAATTAAAGCAGGATAACTGTGGTGGGGAAGCAAGGCCCTAGTTTGTTACAGTACAGATCACTATGAGATGAAATAACTAGAGAAGGGGACAAGTCAGGGAAGCGTTAATAGGCAAGCCAATACCAAAAGATGGGAATAGAATCCAGCACCCTGACTCAGCTTGGATTTATGTAGCATAACATGAATTTGCGATCTTATATCCAGACTAACTTTAAAAGCAGGATCTTCCTGTAATGAGCAATATGTTTCTTATAGATGAGCCACAGGGACAGTTGTCACAGTTAAGTATCAGTCTGATGAATCCTTTGGAATAGAGTTTTTAAGTCAGATTCTCCCAGTCCAGGGACCTTGTGGCATCATTTTCACCTGTGAGATGAGAGTATAAAAATCACCAGCCTATTTTAGTTGACTTTTGCCAAGGCAGCAGGAAGTCTGGCTTGGAGTGGTTTGGATTCTCTCAGTTCTTACTGCCCATGGGGTGATAGCGCTCTCCATAGTCAATTCACCTTTCGGTTAGGAGCTGGGCATGGAATGAAGGGAGCAAGATCTGGAGCACTGTGATCTCAGCAGAGGTGATGCTGGTGCATTCAGTGACATTTGGGGAGGACACCTAGCTAGGCTAAGGAAGCCTCAAAAGATTAAGATATTAGATATTTAGGGAATATATTTACAGGGCAAGATCCTAAAGGCCTAACTCAGTCCCTGCCTCAGCAAAAACTGGATGAACTCTAACTGGATTTTGGGAGTAGTTTTACTTGTGAAAGCATGGGGCAAGGTCTCTGGTATTTGCAGGTAAACAACAAGGGAATGCATAGATAAGTGAAGAGGCACATAATAGATGATAGAAGGCTTGCTGGTATTGAGCAAGTGGCATATAGAAGAGCTGGCCTGATCATTGGTTTTCTGCTTCGTTAGATGGCCATGATGGAGGCCGAAGAGCAGGAGGAGGATGTGAAAACCTCATCTGAGGATGAACCTAAGAGCAGGACACAGGACTGCCTGCGCTATGCACCTCTCTGGATTGTCCTTGTTCTTCTGGCTGGAGCTGGAGTGCTGACCTGGTATTTTGTAGGTAATGGGTGATTTGCTCTCTACACTGGGGCTGATATGGGCTGGCAAGGATGGAACTGGTCCACATCCAGTCCAAAGGGAGTCAGTGCCTTCTGGACATACAGCAGTGGATGACCACCACCCCATCCCCTGCATACAAACACCAGTGCCTCACTAGACTCCACATTCACAGGCTAATCTATCTGTGTCATCTGTTGGCAGACTACAGACCACGGTTTCTGGAACCAACCATCCTGCAGTTCTACTCTGGTAGCCTCCGGATCCTCAATCGCCAGTACTCCCTGGACCTTGGACGGCTGGAATCCAGAGCCTTCTGGACTGAATCAGCCAAGCAACAGAAGATGGTGGGAATGGTTTCATGAGTAGGGTTGCCCCTGAGGCAATTCAGGGAGTGGGATTATGGGTCACAGGCACTCATGCAGATTAAGTTTTTGCCGGGATTATACCACAAGCAGAGAAGGCAGAACTACTGGGTCGTATCATAGCCAGGTAGTTATCAGATGGCATTGTCATTACAGATAAAGGAACTTATTCGTGCCACAGAGCTGAGTCCATATTACAACTCCAGCACAGTGTATGCCTTTGGGTGAGTATTACCCACATGCCACCCATATGTGAAAGTTATACTTGGGTTGTAACCTTGTTTGATAGGCACCTGCTTATCCGACAAGAGCTGCTGCAGCCTCTGTCCTTAGCCAATGTGAGCTCTGGATTAAGGCAGACTTGACTGAACAAAAAGAGGAATTTCCATCGTGCCAGAAATACTGATATCTTGAGATGTTTATATTTTGAGAAGACAAAATATTGAAATATCCCATGAATGAAAAATTCAGGAAAAAAAAATCAGGTGTTTAATATCAAAAGTGTTGTTTTGACTTTTTAGTCCAAATGAAATATCTGCCTGTTCTTGAATCAAAACATGAATGTATTTAGTTTGTCAACCTAATATGAACTGCTCTATTGGTAGACACTGGTGCATTATGGGAAATGTAGTCTGGTCAGAAAACTGGGCCTAAAGGAAACAGTGGAATAGAAGACCTGAGACCTACCACTCCCAAAGTGCAGCTTTATGACTCAGGCAGATGCAAACGGGAATGTCAACTTAACACAAAATAATTCACTTTGATTTGCCAAAGGAAGAGCACACCAAACTAGTTCTGCACCTACGGAAAATTTTGAATTTGAAAACAAATGTATATTTCCAATAGGAAAAATTGTTTCATTCAGAATTTTTTAACCAGACCTACTTGGAACAAAAGTTTGGCCTTCACATGTCAGTCTCTCCAGCTTGATCTGTTCTGGGTATTGTAGGATCTGTCTGCACTCACTGTCTTCTGCAATGTACCAATGGCCCCAGCACAAAAGTAAAGGTTTATAATGGCCAGCTGAACCATGAATTGTCACTCCTGAAATATGGATATTGGACCTTAATGGTCAACAGTTCAACTCCATAGTCAATAGTGAATAAATGTATTTTCTACTTGAGGAACATTAAATAGATGATAAAAATGAAATTAATGATCCTGAAAATGAAATTAATGATTCAGAGTGACCTAGACAAATCAGAAGATTGGGCCAAAAGAAATCTCATGATGTTCAATAAGGACAAGTGCAAAGTCCTGCACTTAGGACAGAACAATCCCATGCACCAGTACAGGCTGGGGGCTGACTGGCTGGGCAGCAGCTCTGCAGAAAAGGACATGGGGGGGGTTACAGTGGATAATAAGCTGAATATGAGCCAGCAGTGTGCCCTTGTTGCCAAGAAGACTAACAGCATACTGGACTGCATTGGTAGGAGCATTGCCAGCAGATAAAGAGAAGTGATTCTTCCCCTCTATTCAGCACTGGTGAGGCCACATCTGGAGTACTGTGTCCAGTTTTGGTCCCCCCCACTACAGAGAGGATGTGGACAAATTGGAGAGAGGCCAATGGAGGGCAACAAAATGGTTTGGGAGATGAGGGACATGACTTCTGAGGAGATGCTGAGAGAACTGGGCTTATTTAGTCTGGAGAAGAGAAGATTGAGGAGGGATTTAATAGCAGGCTTCAACTACCTGAACGGGGGTTCAAAAGAGGATGGAGCTAGATTGTTCTCAGTGGTGACAGATGATAGAACAAGGAGCAACGGTCTCAAGTTTAGGATAGATATTAGGAAGACCTTTCTCACTAGGAGAGTAGTAAAGCACTGGAACAGGTTACCCAGAGAGGTGGTGGAAGCTCCGTCCTTGAATGTTTTTAAGACCCAGCTAGACAAAGCTTTGGCTGGGATGATCTAGTTGGGGTTGAGCAGGGGGATTGGACTAGATAACCTCCTGAGGTCCCTTCCAACCCTCATTTTCTATGATTCTATGATCTTACTCTACTTTGGGAAGGTGTCAATGTCATTAAAACTGCCATTCTCATTAGCACAAAATGGCTTGCAGAGAGGTGGAACAGAGAGAACAAGTATTGAACAGCCCACAGACATGCTAACTCCTCTATTTTACACAAGGTTGTCTGTCCAGGTTAGGACTAGGGCATACTGGTGAGACTGCGGATTTTGGGGAGCTCACACTGTGAATAAAAAAGAGCACTTGTCTCTAGGGCTGTGGTTATGATGATTTGCAGCAGATGTATCTGACTTGAAATGAACAGGAGGAAGGAATGTAATGCGCTCTTT